AAAAAAACCAATGGTAGAATTGATATGCGTAAATCTGGAAATTATACATTAACAACTATAAAATTTTTCAAAGAAACCACTTTAGCACTCCAAAAAAGTAAAAAAATAAGTGAACAAGAAAGTGTATAGATAGATTTAGCAACAACTGGTGCTCTAATATTTGCAGAAAGATATGAAAGAGAAGCTAATCAATATGATGTAAATTCAATGTATATATTTGAAATGATAAAAAAAGATGCATCATGGCCAATTGTACTAGGTAAGTTTCATACTATAAACTCATCTTTTACAGAAAAATGGAGTAAATTTCCGTATTGAATTTATAAAGCAACAATAGAAGGAAATCCTCCAAAGAAAAGTCTTCAATATACGAGATATTTACGTTATAATTCACATAAAATTTACACACATTATGATTTAAAATATGCGCGAAAAAATGGATTGAAAGTAACATTAATGAATATATCACCAAATATGCTTATTTACGAAAGAAATGTATGTATAACAGGAAAAGACATGTTTGGTGAATGGGGTAATATATTATACAAAATTAAAAAAGAAGGTGGAATAGAAGGAAAAGTTAGTAAAGCATTATTAGTTTTATTATGGCGTGCATTATGTGAGCAAAGAAATGGACAAAATTATGGTTTACACCTACGAATAAAACCATTCTTATTAGCATCTGCACGAAAAAGAATATCAGAAATTGAGAAGCCACTAGGAGATCAAGTAAAATATATATATACAGATGGCATTATTATAGCTGGAAAAGTAGAACTTAAAACGGGAATAGAAATGGGTGAGCTAAAATTTGAGAAAAATGGAGTTTGTGTAGTAAAAAATTGTATATCAATTACATGGAAACCGTCATATCCAGAAATTCCAAATTTGATTATTTTCAAAGAAAATGAGCTTCGCTCTACAAATAGTTTACCAGATTTTGAGAAAATACAACAAGATAAAGAGCAGAATACAAAATTAGATACAGAGTATCCTGTCTCACAGACAGTAAAAAGAAAACCATTAAAAAGATCTGATATAAATCTTCCAAATGAAATTATAATAGAAATATTTCAACATTTACGAACACAAAATAATATATTAAACACAAAGTGTTCTGCTTTGCAGTATACTAATAATGAATTATTATCATCAGTTTTATATGTTAATAAATGATGGAATGAATGTGCAACATATTTAATATGGAGAAGAATTACATTATATAGATACAATATTATAAAATTTGTCGAAATAATAAAAAAGAAACCATTACCAAATGCAATAAAATATATAAAACAGATAGAATTCAAAAGAATAGATAATTATTTTAATATGAATGAATTTCTATTAGAAGACATTTCAGGTATATGCCAATATATAATAACTATAACATTTAAGGATTGTGGTTGGGAATTTCTTAACAATAGTTCACTAAAGATACCATTTTTTTTTTTTTTTTTTGGTGTTAAGGTGGCCTCTTGGCCGGCTTCTTTTATTCAGTTATAGTTAACTTTACAATATGCGTTTATAGCATCTCGTATACATATTTGGAGAGTACATACTAGT